GATAATGTCGATAATGAACGGCTGTCTACAGAAGATACTCAATTTCTGTTGGTCGGATACAATCAGCAACAGCCTATTGTGGGAGAGAACAAACCAGCTTTAAAAAATATATACTATTATTTACCAGACAGATTTTTTGTTACACTTTCACAGATGATTCAAAAGTATTCACAAGAGCTAATTTTCGTTATAGAATTATTCCATTAACCATAGTTTTCAAATCAATGACTTAAACACTTTATCTCTACAAATCGTCATAACGTGTGCAATAACAATAGAATTTTTTGTTCATGACAGAGTTTGAAGAATGTTGGTGGGCGGCCCATACTCCTCCATGAGGGGTAACAGGCGTAAGTAAGTTGATCGGCGGGGTTCATTTTGATAGTTAAAGCCAATATATTTAGTTATTTTTAATTACTAACGAAAATTTTTAATTTAAAGAAATGTTCTGTCTATAAAGAGCAATTTGTACAGAATGTGAGTTTATGGAAATTTGTAATTAAAATTGTTCCTATTTTATTTTTAAACTGTTACATTCAATCTGTTGCATTAATAATATCTTATCTTACTTGATTTTTTATAGAAGGATTAAATGAACTCAGTAAATTTCGTAACAATTCACCAGTATCTAAACATTGTAACCAACAAAGTTAAGCGCTTAGCTGCACAGTTGAAAATAGTAGGAGCGATAAGAAGGATTGTCACTACATTTATTAACAGTATCTAACTTTTAGAATAGACAAAATAGAAACAAAAGTTATACTTAGCTGACGTTGTCTGTTTGCGCTGTTGTCGTAGACCGGCTTGAATGCTACTGATCGTTTCGGCAAATGGAAAAGAACTTAAGGTTTCCAACCTCAAATGGGACTGCACAGAATTATTTAAGGGTTAAAAAAGCGACTATTTTCTAGATAGACTCTAGCTTCCTGAACTGTATTATTACTTTTGAATGTAGCCAAACTTTTATGGTGTGAGATAATCATTCAATTGGCCACATAAATGAAGTTAGGACATGAGATATATGTGTCATGTTATTGAATTATCGTAAGCTAGTAGGTCATACTATTCACATTTAACTCGAGTAGACCGAAATCATTGGTACAGATTACCTAAATAAATGATCTTAAAATCCTGAACAGTCTAGATGCGTTTATGCTATGTATATTTTGAATGCCTTGAGTTTTCTCTAATCTACTTCAAAGCCTATCAACATTGTGTTTAGGTTGTTTGTGGCTAGACATACGTAAAACATGCTTGAATAACTCCAATCGACGAAAATCTTTGTAAACCACCAGACATTCAGCCATTTTTGGACTAGAATACTGCAAGATTTTTGGCTGAATGAACCTAGAGGTCCAAAGCGTGAAAACAGACGAACTGGGTATGTCATTCATGTAGATCAAGCACAAAATTAGGTCCATCAAAACCTTTTTAGAAGTCATGTTATCTGGCATTAGACTTTGTCTTGCGATCAAGGATGGTTGTAAATCTGTGTGCCGCGGTCAGTATTTTATTAAAATACAGATATGTTCCTTCCCGAACCCGTACCGCTATGGTGACAAGAATCTCACAGGTAACAGGTAGTCTTGTATACCATCTCATATCAAGTTCTTCATAACTTGGTATATATGGATACTGAGAGGAGTGCCTCAGTATTTGCCAGTTAGACACACGTTTTCAAATCTAAAATTCCAAGTATCTTTTTTGAACTCCCAACTATTTGGGACCTTGTCTCGGCTTAGAGAATCTGAGAACATTACACTAGAAAATGTTGTCAAGAAACAAGACGCTCCTCGTAGTATAACATAATTACTCGTATCCGGGTTGGAAAAATTGTCCTTGTTTAGATGCTGAATCTTCTGATACCCTTAATTAGCGCTTACATCACCTTCCGCTAACGTCCGTTTTTGGTTTATTCAATGCTGAAAAATCATCATTTAATTGCTAACGTTTTGAAAAATAACATTTTCTAGAACAACTGACTTCATCATTTCCCATTACTGTGTGAATAATATATGCCACATAGTGTCGTATGCCCTGGTCTTGTCTTGTTGAAGAGAGACTCCATGACGTAAGATGTTCTTCGGACAGGGGACAAACTTATCGCACAGCTTTACCTGATAGTGAATTCTAACTTTTATCGCCTCTGCACATTGGCTCATTGCTTGTTTGAACTGACTATATGTGCTGCCGTCACTAGTTCGTTTGTATTCTGCACACTGGTGCCTTCGGATTCTTAGCATTCAAAGAGTGCGACTCTTTATGACTGTACTTTACTTTCAGTTTTCGGGGGTTATTTAATTAATTACTGAAGAATCCTTGTGAGAAAGAACGAAAGAAAAAAATATAAAAATACAAAACAATACAACTCATTGATCAGGAATTGATTAACAGTCAGTTTTCAGCCACATATAAGAGCTAGAGGCTATTGATACTTCATGGTCATCTAAACTGCAGTAGGCAGAGTAAGGATTGAACCACATGGGCGATAAAATGAAGGCCATGATCACATGATCGCTTTCCCCAGGTAAACCTGAAAAATGTACAAACACAACATACTCAATGATCATTTAAAATAGATCAAGTAACTAGCGTACCCACTAAATACATTAGTAGCATAGTATATAATAAATCAGCGAAAACTCGAACAACCCAACTGGACATACTGTATTACTCATTTTAAGAAGCTTGGAATAATGATAACTGACTACCTGTAAATAGGAAAGTGCGTCCTACAGTCCACAACTAGCTCAAGTTTGAAGACATAACGAAACCTTCGACTACATGCAATATCAATGGGGTCCTCTCAGAATGAATATATGACAACAGAGAGTGATCTAAATTCAGTCCAGAGTATTGCATTTTTGTTTTCACCTACACTACCCTGCTGACCCAACTGAATTAAATGGAATTCAAACCCATAATCAAGTGGATACAGACCAACTGCTTTAAACATAGAATGACTGCGAAAACCATGCCAAATCAATGAATTTTTCTTAATTTCGGTGTTCATAATTATTTACAAAAGGTTAATGAAGCAGGAAGCTAACCCTAAATATCATGTTCTAAACCACAACTGTGATACACTGCTTTAAGTGCTTTTCACCACCAATCAACAGGTCCCCATATTTTACCAGATATGTAAAACAGCATAATGTATTTCACAAAATAAATATGCTGAAAAGGCGAATTACCGAAAATGGATTTGTTTACTGAATTCGATTACACTATCATTAACGCAATATCACCAAATGAAAAACCCAGCAATAAAATGATATTGTCTCAAAAAGATTTAAACAATATATTTGATCTAGGACATTTTACTATTTTATTTAACTGATTGAATTGAATGTAGCTAACTAATCACGTAAACGTTCGTGTACTTAGCCTTGAGTCACATTTGCGTGACAGCCTAGTGATATTACCCGTCTGCCCAAATCAAAATATATGGAGTCGAATTTGAATTGACTAAGTCTTCATAACTTTTTATTGATCTATTTTCTTATCAATTAATAAGTATGCAGTCAAAGCAATGTAGATATTATTCTCATGCTTATGGCTTTCATGAGAAACTGATAAATGGATATGAGACATATGACTGGCTCAAAATCTATTTACAAACCAAAATTTGCCTACAAATAAAGTATTCAGAATAAAGGAAAAAACATACTGAGCAAATCAATATATCTGTACAATTTTCTGACGATGTCCTAAAATTTTTCTCTTCCTCACTGCCAGAATTCAAAACGCACTGAACATTATTGTTATCACTCTTACTGTTATTGTTTCCTGAGGATTTCTGAGTCAGATATAATCGTAGTTCAATAGCCGTGTTGTTTATGTTGGCAAATTTATTCCCAAGACAGAACGCAAGTCTCAAGCTCGAAAAGTCAAATTCAACAACCTTTACATCAAAAACTTCCCACCAAGCGACCAAAAATTGGAGAACTATACAGAATTGTTTATTGATGCTGTAAAATCCTATAATACACAGTATAATATAAAAATTAGGGAAGTTAAATCAAAGGGTTTCGGTTTTGTGTGTTTCTTAGACCCCGACCACGCCGAAAACGTAGAACCTGACACATGTTCATTGGTCGTCATATCACATTAGCACAGCGAGATAAAATAACTTCAAGACAAATTCCACAGAAGAAGAGGTAGTAACAATATCAGTAGAAGTAGAAAAGTCAGTCCAGCTATATGTTGAACGTCAATTTGTATGTCAAGAACTTGGATGATAATATTGATGATAAACGGGACGCACTTCCGCCATTGTGAACGATTCTGAGCTACTCTACCCAAAGTCTATAACCATTGATTAATCGGTCTAAGGGATTCCTCATCCAGAGTTTTGCGAACCCTGAACAAGCGGCCCGAGCAGTAACTGATATGAACGGGACAATCATAGGTTCAAAACTAGGATATCCCGCAAGTGCTCAGAGAAAAGAAGAATACATGGTAAAGATAATTATATCCGATGGCAAAGATATTTTTCAATTCCGGACTAATTATTACAATAGTAATAAATTTAATTATAACTTGAATCAGCAGTAAAAACTAACACCAGAAGTATGAATTAAAAATGGGTAGAAAATCTTTGTGAATAATTTGTTGCATCTTAGCTTAAGGTTAACTAACAGTTAAAAGTTCATCAATCTTCAGTGTATGGATTCGTTTCTCCACCCGTTGCTGGTTATTATGCTGGTGCGCCCAATCCAGCTGCTATTACAGCTAACCAAATGGCTTCTTTCGCTCAATTCCGCACACCAGGTGTTAACAGACCCATGGTACCCGGAATGCCATAAATTAACAAAATTATAAATCTTTAATTAATCTCGCCAAACATATTGGGGAAATAAAAACCATAAAAATACAACAAGCATCTGGGAGACAGGGTGTGGTCGTTCCTCAAGTGCTCGGGGCTACGGCTGGTGGTTTGAGTCAACGTCCAACTGCAGCCTCAGTGGTTGCGGGTCCACCATCTGCTAATCCTTGCCATGCGAGTAAGTTTGTTTCTCTTTTAAGCTTCCATTGAATTACTTTCGTGGTTATTGTCTGTGAGACTTTAACTTGGCACTCAGTTGTACTGGTTGTAGTTCCAATTAAAATATGAGCTCTAGTTAGCAACGAGGTTTTCTGTGGGCTGTCATGAGTCATGCCTTGTTATCATTCAGCCAGTTAATAAGCTGTGCGGTGCCATTTGTTTCACACAAAATCCGGATACTTGTATGATTGTACGTGTCACATCACTTAACACTACGATATTTAGCGTATCATCCATCCTATGACGGATGTTCAGTCCATATTGTGTTTTCCTTTGCAACTATTTTGAACCTAAAGGTATCCAGTCACCTGGATTATGCAGTTATGTTTATTACTAATCCATGAAACTTGTCGCTTCGAGTTTTTCAGTTTCGAGAGGACAGGTAGCTTAGTGTCAATTGACCCAACTTTCTCTTGCAAGAGTTGACAAGTGGAGTTTCAAATCCTATTCGCTCGTGATTTGATGGGAAAGTTGGTAATCAGTTGACAAGTAATTTGTCCTCGGTTTGTGGACCTTCTTAGAGTCATCGTGAATTCTGTTTTGGAAGACTAAAGAGCGAGAGCATATCAGGTACAAATTTACCACTAGGTAGTTTGAAAACTAATCAAAGCACCTCTGGTTCTTCGACATGACAATGGAAATAAGTTTAGCTTAGCCAGTCGGGCATCATACGGGAGCTTTGCTTAGTTGTAGCTCCGAACGTTTTCCAAGAACTCGCTGTTTTCAAACGGGCTAGCCGCTTGTATGCAGTATTCAAATTTAGGACCCACCAATACTGTATACAAAGTTAAAAACATTTTTGCATCGACATGTCTAAGGGCGCTACGTATTGACCATAGGGTTCTAAAACCTGTGTCGGCTGTTGAACGGCATTGTGTAGTACTTCTTAGTCTTGGCTTACGATGATTAAGTCATTGTGTCTGAACAACAGGTAGATCATTGTTATTTACCGTGTGTATCTGTACCTATGATCAATATGCATCACACTGCACTTTGGAGTATTTATCGGCAACTGCCAAGTTTGAGACCACATAATTTCTTCAGGTCATTCTGAATTTCTAAACTATCACCTTTTTATCGCTTTCAATATCTTGACATCGTCAGCATATAGCAAGGCCGATGATGATAGGAGACGAAGATCATTTACGTACAAGAGAATAGCCCCAAAACTGTACTCTGAGGCACTCAGCTAAATACAGTTTCCCAGCCAGACAACTTGAACTTCACTCGAACTCTTTGTTGCTGCACAACAAGGAAGTCTTTTATCTACATCAATAGATTGCCTCCAACTCCGATATTTCTTAGCATATATAACAGCCGCTTGTGAGGAACATTGTCAAAAGCGTATTGCGAGAAGATAAATAGTTCTTTATTGATCGCATACAACAAATGCTAGAAAATATTCATCGTTCAGTTAATCACTAATAAGTTAGTGAGACACGAATAACCTACTCTAAAGCCATGCTGCTTTTCCGAGAAAATTGGGTTTTCATCGAGATAAGTAAACAGCTTCCGAAAAATTTGTTCTGAAATTTTAACAACCACGCTGGTTAGGCTAACGGGTTGGTAGTTCTCAGGTTTATGTTTCGTACTTGTTTTGAAGACAGGACTTATTATGAAGTCCTTCCAGTCTTTCGGTAATCGACTCTGAGTTACAGATAGGTTAAAACATACAATTAAGGGGTTCGCAACGAAGTTAGCTGGTTCCTTTAGTAACCTAGGATGCATTCAGTCGTGTTCCGTGGATTTGCCTATATCAACCTTATTTGGTAGACCAAAAACATCGAGTTCTTTGATGGTCACATTGTGCGCGTGTGTGGGATTTGTATGAAGTAACGGGGTATCTACGGTATATACATTGCTAAAGTAGTTTGAAAATACATAGCTTTACCGTAGTCGTCCTTCACTAATGATGAATTATTATTGTCTCCCCATAGTGCTGGAATATTTCCTCTTCTCTTAGTCCTTTGGTTTATGTGCGAATACATTTGTGTAACAGATCCGAAGCCCATTTGAGTGGCTCCAGTGAAACATATTGGACACAAGTTGGACAACAACGACTAACTTCAGGAGAGCTTCTGTTATACTCCGGCTATGAAGAAGAAAATGGCCCACATACACAAGGAGTTGCATTGATGCTGTCCAAACAAGCATAAAATGCACTTATAGGATGAGAATCTGTGTAGCTGGGTTTTAAAAGTCACTTGGTTTTGTATGTAAAGTTAGGGAAAGTGCTATTCCTTTCAGCTTGTGTTTCACAATTCAATTTCGTTTATACTCTTCTTCGGTCTTTTGGACTATCGTAGTTGAGATGTTCAATCTTTAGTGTGTACGTCTTTGGAATGTTTCTTCGATAGGAATATATTCACATGTATTAGTAAACATGATTTGTATATCGTATGGCTCACGACGCAATAGTAAGGTCAAAAAATTAGGTTTGAGTCTAGTGGTCCCTTCAATAAAATGGTCATAGGCGACACAATATTCCCACACAAACGCATTCACAAAACCACATGGACTTCACCGGATCACACCACGCAAAACCAAATTGACCATATTTGCATCAACAAAACGTTCAGGTCTACTCTCCTTAAAGCAACAGGTAGCCTCGCAAGTTCCAAGAGCCGTAATGCATTCTGGTATGTCGAACATAACAAGTACTGCAACAAATGTTAGGTTCCATCAAACAGCTCGCAATGTCTCAGCTCAACCTACGCTTGTCCCAGCTGGAAGTATGTCTACACTCTTACAACCTCTTGGCGATCAGGGGCAACTAACAATAAGCGCATTGGCTCAACTGTCAGAAGAGGATCAGAAAAGGACGCTCGGGGAACATCTTTATCCACGTATCAAGGCAATGTATCCCAACTTAGCCAACAAGCTTACAGGAATGCTTTTAGGAGTGGATAACGCAGAGGTTATAAATCTTTTAGAATCTGAAGACTTGCTACGCGCCAAGGTAAGATATTTTGTTTATTCATACAGTGATAATGGTTTTCCAAGTTGATCAGAAACCCAAATGATATATTACTTTAGTTCACATATTCAATCTATTTATTTAAGTGAAGAAAGCATAGCATAAAGTATCAAATTCTTACTTATAAATATCATAACAAAAACGATCAACCAAAGGGAAAGTTCAATAGTGATTATGGGGTAAGAAATAAAGTATATCAGTACATTTCAAAGAACTCTTGAATCGACCAGCCCCACCTAACCCACCTAACATCGAAGAAGCACCCACGGAACTCCCAATCGCTATCGGCCCACCAACAACTGAAGAGGTTTGAATTCAGGAATAAATTAACTGTCTTCTCTGTCGACATTTCTTGTCTCTAAACGTCTGTTCAATATTATTTACCCGGCTATATCACCACACATAAGCAATATTTCTAAGACATGAAGTACAAGAAACCTGTGCATTACCTCTATCGTCGACGACCATGTCTAGTAGCCACAAAGCGAACTGCTGCTCACTAAAGTATACTAGATCTATCACCTATTCCACAAGCGATGGTTAATTCTCAAGCAACAGGTTGCGCTTAAATACAGTTTATGAGAAAGAAAAAATCCCGAACATTTTAAAACGACACCTGGGGGTCCAGTAGACAATTTTATCAGCGTCATGGTATACGGATACGTTTTTAAACAAACAATCTCCTTTGACTCAGGCCGCTAACCTCTACCTTGGGCTCTTTTCTGGTCGTCGCTAACTTATATTCATTTCAATTTGTTGATTCACTTCGCAGTGCCATGTGCTCTTCGTTCTGCATCTTTTCCTCTGGTGTTGGGGACTTCAAATTAGGTCTAGACATGTGACGCGACTTGAAGGTTTCCATAAAACGTATCCTACTCACCTCCAATGTTTCTCCTAAATTTCCTCAGCTGGTTTGTTGTCTCCTAGATTGAGTTATTAACAATGGTTCATCTTGTGTAAACAGTATATGTATAACTACTTTTTAGTGATATTGATGGCAATTCTTTAAGTTTAAGCTCTAAAGCAGTGCTGTTTTAACGTCAGTTTTGAAAACTCCAACTTTTATTTTAGTGGACAGTTCTAGATGTCCTTCAGTTGTAGAGGTGTCGTCCTTGCTTTTTTAGTTTGTACCATGATTTACACAAAGTCATTTCTTGGTGATGCTGGATAGGTACGCAAAGGCTTCCACCTCTCTCAGTGCTTAGATATCAAATATGACTTGGTGGCTGCCGGTTGTGTTGCTCTTCGGGATCCTTCTTTTTTGAGTGTTTGAGACCTGCTGTTACTACGCTGACTGTTTTCACCTACATTTGTTGCTGTGTATGGGATAGAGAAGCTGGTTCATCTGCGAAATCTGGAACTCAAAGCAACTGTCAACCAACACCAAGGTCAGGATTTTCAATACAAATGTCAAGACAGTTCTACTGTCTACTGGGGCAGAAACCTGGGAAATAAAAAAGAGCAGACAACCTTGTTTGACATCAGTTTTCACTTGGAATGTATTTGTGAGTTGCTCTCTATTCACGACTTTGCTGTCCATTCCCTCATAGGAGTTCCGCATGCTAGTGAACAAACCAGATCCCAGCGGAGGAAGAAATCAGGAAGAAGCGCTGGAAGTGGATAGGACACATATTGAGGAAAGCACCCAACTGCGTCACAAGACAAGCCCTCACATGGAATCCTGAAGGCCAAAGGAGAAGAGGAAGACCAAAGAACACATTACGCCGGGAAATGGAAATAGACATGAGAAAAATGAACAAGAATTGGATGGAACTAGAAAAGAAGGCCCAGGACAGAGTGGGTTGGAGAATGCTGGTCGGCGGCCTATGCTCCATTGGGAGTAACAGGCTGTCTGAAGTTGTCGCACTTTGTAAAACCTCCTTTCTCTGGTATCTTGACGAGGTGCTTCTTTCTAGTCTGTTGGTACTTGTTCCTCTTCCCAAATCTTTCTCGAGAAAACGTTGGATGTCTTTTGAGTTACCACCATATCTGACTATGTGTGTTGCTTTGATGCGCGGTGGACTCACGTTCAGTCTTCAAGCAATTCAAACAAAATAGAATTGGATGTTTAAGATGTTCTAATAAACCTATTGGTCTACTATATTTCCCTTAGAGCTTCATAGTTGTGTGCTCTAATAGGGTGATACAGAAATGTTTGTAATAGTCTAAAGCAGTTGTCAAACTATAGTAAAGTACGGAAAAGACTATCCTATTCAACCTGAGATCTAAGAGCTTATTCAGATTCTTTTATTCCTGTAATAATTACCAAAATATTTTATTTACCAGCGTTCATCTAATATCACTTTTAGCTCGCGCATTGTTGTATCTAATTTTATAGTTAGTATATTTCATGGTTAAGTATTTCAGCTTTTACTTTTTAATTGGTAATATACTGCTCACGTTAAACACATGTAATGTAGAACGACAGTTATGACAGTGTAGTGAGAAGATGAAGCTCATCTGAAAAATGTGATGTGTTCACACCATTCACTTATCGAGGCACCAACTTATAAAAATTAATGAAGTCCTACTGAATAATAGTTCAAATAACAAAGTAACTGCTTTAGTTTGCAGGATATATCTTGTTCCAAGCCGTTATCATGCGAGGGGAAGGTGAAGAATAACTTAAAAGCGTGAACGTGATAATAACGAATAGTTAGAATCAGAAAGATCAAAACATTAGAAAGATGTATTAATAATCAAATTCTCACTAGTTTGTAGGTAAAATGAAATTAGTGCTCAGAAGATAATTGATCTAAACTACTCACCTGTAAACAAGTGTCTCACATGGCTGGGGAACACAGATTGTCAGTTTGTTATGTTGGGTTGTTCTTGTCGGCAAATATTATTGATTAGTTTACAACACTGACTAAACATTTCCTTGTTTTTTTTCAGTGTGAAGAAGGCATCAATGTACTGAGAAGCAGCCAAAATCAACAAGGTGACATTGCAGAAGGTAGACATACTTCTACAGGCCAGAATGGTGATGGCTCAACTGGAGCAGGGTCTATGAAACCTGAAGATTCCAATAACTAAGTCGAGGGTATCTTCCAAGCAACATTATTTAACTTTATCGTCTGACTGTCCTATTAATTTCATTTCAACTGTTAATTAGGGTGATTAGCCCCAAAAAATGTTTTATTAGTTTGAGGTTTCTCGCTATTATACATGGTAATCAACAGTTCTTTATGTTTGATGAATCTACTACACTTGTTTGTTTTCGACTCTTCTTTCTTTCTGAACCGGATGTTAATTGACTTTCATGTTATTGTTTTTTTACTAAGTTTATTTGATGTTGAATTACAGTTTTGGATAATAAATGTAGACTTGTGATTTAGTAAGATCACTGCAGTATTGCTCAAATCCGTAACAGGGCTCTTGAAAATCTGGAACGAACGTTTGTATCTTTTTCTGTAATATTCGATAACCTATAAGTTTAAGTATTTCTCCATCTAAGAGTGTGTGATATAAATCTCAACCGTAGCTGTTTCGTTGATGTGGTTTCCCTTAGACAACCATTTTCTGAAATGATTCTCACAGTAGACGAAGGGTTCTCGAATAATTTGTCTGTAAATTGGCGTGCATTGATTCACGGATTTCCGTCTCCGGCGGTCGTGGCTTGTAGGTGCATAGGTAACATCTAAAGTAAGGAAGGACGTTATATTTGTGTTCGGCCTCAGGCAGTTGTCGTTTTGTTCTTCGCTATCATACTGCTAGGTCACCGAGATGACCCGTGGGCCACTTTTTTAGGTCTCTCAAAGGTAATTATTTTATAATATGTGGTCAGCCGGGAAGTGAAGACCACCGTCATACCTTTAATAGCACTCAAGATTACCTTGTTCTCAATCAAACCGCGTCTTCATTTAATATTTCCATTTCCACTACCAACTTTCATCCATTCTCGAATTCTGTCACACGTACCATCGAAACTAATACTATATATACTGTATAGTTTAATTATCTGAAAAAATCTCTGTGTTATTGAACTTCTGGGAGTTACTGATACCTTCCGACTACCAATCCATAGACAGGCACAGTTTTTTGAAGTGATTTTGGTGAAATAAATTTGAAAATTATCTGTTTAAATGAACGTTTCTGATAAGTAATTTAACAACTTAAGTCTATATCACTAATTGATTACGTAAAGCACTTTCAGGAATATTGACTACTGTAGTTTTATTATCTAATAAACGAAAACTACAATTTAATTACTTCAAATAATGAGAAAAGGAGTTTCACAAGGGGCTTCCCAATCTTCAGAAAATCTGGCTCCTGAACTCAGTTACATCTGTGTTTTCAAATGCTCGAAAATATCGCAAGATCATCCGAACCATGAAAGGTGGCTACAACATAGTCGTGGATGAACAAAGTTTACTCAGTGATTGTGAATAGAGGTCAGTAAAGCATAAATTGGAAATCTTAATGGGAAATTATTACTTACATAACACAAACTATTTCTCTGAATAGATCAATATTATAATACGCGGTTATCTCGGAAAACTCACTTTACACGATGGATCGAATTTTTCACAACAAACGGCCAAGCTCTTTAACAGAGAATCTTCCAAATCTATATTGTTTTTTACACCATACCGTAATTGAAGTTCTCCGACTCGAAGTCGAAAAGGGAATCTGGTGTAAAGAAAGGAAGAATAGTGGGACCTAACAGGTTGGATCCAGCATGATTTTCGGGACGAGTTATGTTACTACAGTAATAGATCATTTCATAACCATTACTTTCATGAAGACTTAAAGCTCGTTAAGTAGTGCGTCTAAATTTATCTCTTCTAAGAAAAGAGAATTGTGAATCAACTTCCTAGCATTTATGCTTCTGTGAATGTATTCCGTTTAGACAAAAATTAGTCTTATTAAAATGGTTATATGGTACTTAATACAAATAAAATCGTAAACGGACAAATAGACTTAGTGACCCTCAACGATTGTTCTAGTCCCGAAATTGCTTCCACGTAGTGTAGTTCAAATAATACAATTAGTCAAAATACTAAACCACTTTAAAAATGTCTCACCGTTTCATTTTGTACGTGCCGGTAAAGTTTTTGCTTAGGATCTTCAACTGTAAAAGATTGACAATCCATATTTAACCTCATCAGAGCAAGTGGATCATATATAGAAGGCACATTAATAATAGTAGTGTTAATAATAACTTACACTTATCTGACCAAATCTTAGTTGGTAAATTCAATGGTGTGTAAATGATAAAGGGTTTTGAAAAATCATTATGACCAGAAGTAAGCAAGTAGTCTTTAAATTATTCTTTATTATTCGGTATCTTGTCATTCGCGAAAAGTTTTCATTTATTTTGAAGAGTATAGTAATTACTGACGATGTACATATAAAATGTGTAAATACTCATGAATTAGAAACCATATTCATTTTGATAAATCCTCAGTCGGTGAACCTTATTTTATATATATAATTACTAGTTGAAAGGTTGTGAAGAAGTTTCCATCAGACGATCTATAAATTACGCAACAAGAAATGTAGGTACCACCTTTTGACCTTAAGTAGTTTTACATATTCGATAGAAAGCCCTGAACGTAATACTAGTTAGCAGTCGTCAGTAAAGTAAATTGGAAGTCTTGAGTGAAACGATGTTAACCAGTTTTAAAATTAAGAAATGACTGTAATTTTTATTATTTTGTACAACTTCAAAGAAATATTCATCATGTGTGAATTATGAATCTTGAATTAATACTTGAATAGTTAAAGCAAAACAGGTAGAGAGAATGACTTGAGTTCAGCTATCTGCACATTAAATTACAAAGAAAAAAGTTCTGAATCTTGAAACAACAAACCTGAATACTATGGTATATTTAATTTGTGGTTACCTATGGGATTTAGGGTGTGTTTCGCCCTACTTGGAATTTATGATCAGAAGATACTATCGAAACATCCACTGGATGGATATCTACCAACAGACATCACTTGCAATCTTGAATATCGACAGCCGTAAAATACCAACCCCTACATATTTTTGAGCGTTGTTAATATTGAGTTCTAGTCGATAGATATTCTCTTTAAAATGGATAGAAATGTAGAAAAAATTGATGAGACATGAAGGCTTATCACATTTACGCATATGATGAAATGTTGAAATAAAAGAGTACTAGAAGTGATCTTTCTAAGCTTTGTTGACTAGTTGAATAAGGCCAATCGGGATCTATCTATCTACATTTTACTTTAAATTTTAAAATCTAAAAGTTTTTTAGATTTTCTTTTCTATATGGTATCATTCGATATTGTGAAAATTCATAAGTATTTGGCAACTGGTTTTCTACCTCATATTAGAGGTTACTGTCTACCAGGGCTCATCTGATAAATTATAAGTTTAACCTGTTTGACTCCTTGATATTCAGCGTTGAATTTTTGGCCATCTTGTGTTTACATCTGTCTTGATATAGCCATTATGTCAAAAAGTTATTTAGAATAGATGTGTTGTGGCTAGCAGTCGAATTCAGATAGCGCATTTCGTCCAACTCGGGATTCATTAGCTAGGTTTACTCACATGCAGATATTGATGCTCACATTATGATTAAAACACAGTAACTTTATATTCAAACCCCCATTGCATTATCTGCTTAGCTACTGATCCCAGATAGGCACTAACATGTTCAGCGGGTATGATGCTTATATTATTATCTACTTCTTTATATTCGGGTTGTATCAAACTATTATTGGCAGTGATACAAACATCATACCCGTTTAGCACGTGTGTGGCCATTTAAATTCATTAGCTCAAGAACATTTAGTTGTAGAAATCTACATACAAGGTCATTAACTATTCAGCTCAATAATTTTTATTCTAGAGTAATTTTAATTAACTAATTGGGTTAGTGTTTCGAGCATTAACACAAGACCTAAACTATCAAGAGCTTTGCTACAATCTCACTATTTTCAGATAGTAACAGTTTTATTATTGTCAATTGACAGGGTGTATTTGTTTAATCAAGATTATGGATAGTCAGTGATCTTTTCAAGTCTATCAGACTATTTTCTGTGGACAAAAATCTTTATTTATTTCATCTGAATAATAGGTTTCATTATATCCGTGAGAGTTTTTAATAATTTTGGTTTAACTTTCCATTCCATTGCTCGTTGTAGATGTATTGATCAGATCTTCACCCTCCGCCAAATGTTAGAACACCGTCATACTTATCAAAGGCCACAATCGTAGTGTTTCTTGACATCAAGTGTTTCTATTTTAATCATATGCTTGTGTGTTAAAACATTATCATTTTGATCGGCACGTTATTTGATCTTTAGGTATTAACATGTTTTAAAAAAATTCGACGTTTTTGTAATTTAAGAATCAATACAATGTTTTGATAACAAATATTTATTCGGATGAGAGTTCTGTAAAAATCTTTTATTAATCACACCAAAGATTAAATTTGAACTGGACAGACATTGAAAATCAGAGGGTATCAAACTTCAAATATGGGACTTCTCTATAATGCATAAACACAATGAGTTGATCTGGGAACTCTCAATCTTGCAAAACTGTGAAATGACTGAAGTTTGACGTGTGAGCTACTGGTTGCCACCCCAGTGACCCAAGGCTATGAGTTCGGTACCTGGTGTAGGAATGAGCTGTTTCGGAGTCCCACATTCGGGTGAAACAGCTGTCTAGTTTTTCTTGGTATCTGATTGTTATCTAGCGACGGTCTATCCAGAAGAAAGAGAAAGAGAGGAGAGTAAATAGCCTTTTCAAACTCCGGTCCTCACTTGGAATGCATCTGTCAGTTGTCGTTCATGGACAACTTTGCAGTGTAGTTCATCGTATGAATTCCGGATTTTATTGACGATTTTTTCAGGTATGCCATAGTGTCGAAGAAGGTTCCATAATGTTCTAACATGACTGAAAAAGATAGAACAAAATCAAATTTTATTCTATGTATGTGTTTTGAAGTTTGATTAACTGTAAAACATCAAAAAGATAGACGATTTACCTTATAATAATGATTTTGTGAACTATGATACAATAAATATTATTTATATTGACCCGATCGAAGTGATCTCTTTAATCATAGATTTTACTTATAATCATAATTGGCAAAAAAGTGGAAGTAGTTTTCAATAAAATTTAGCGGTATGAAAGAAAGCTGCAAAGGACTGGCTTCTGTTGGTCCCTCACGACTACCTCGTTGGGGTCCTAGAGATGGTGCGACATAGTGGCTAGAGACGTTATCAGATAAGATCTCCATGAATAAATAACGATGTGTTGTTGGTCGCCAGACTTCAGTTTCCTTTCTTCATAAAAAGTGGTTATATCTTCCTTAACTGAAAGAATTCTTCTGTTGTACCTTTCCGTTTCCCCCATTATTATTACTGCTATTATTATTATTACTACGTTACCTTACACTAGTCTGTGGTCGTTATTGTTCTTCTTTTTTTCTTTTACGCTCCTTATTTTTTTCAGGATTCCTAAATATTGATGTCAGTTACTTGAACACAGTTGGTAATAATTCATGTAATCGGTGTATTTGCAAACTTAAGAGAATAGATAGTAACTGCTGGATTCAATCAAACTCAGGCCACTACGGTAAGATATTATATTTTCAGTGTTTGAATACCATTATTACAAAATATGTCGCGACGGTAAACATTTAAAAACATTTTACAGGAAAAGCAATATTATTAAGATTAAATAAGTATATTAGCCAATATTTGTGTATCTGTATTGTGGCAGAAACATCATTTTAAAAGTATTAATGAGTTAAAGCTAATAGAACGACATATCATGCACATAGACTAGAAGCAAGCTGTACAGATGAATGCACTCGACCTTTGAATATGAAAGATGAGATCTTCTGGTGGTTTAAACTGGTCCAACTGTTTAATTAGTCAGCCATCTTGTACGCTCTATGAGACATGTGAACGGGTACCCATCAGTTGGAATACAAGTATCAAATTTTCATAGATATGCTTGGAGCAAACAGATTATATTGCTTATAAGAAGATAACAATCTCAGATGTTTATTAGATCTACAAGCAGCCTATGGGACATGTAACCTCACAAGAATGGTACCATGGAGATGTGTTGATGATATGGTATTAGAGTCATAACATAAAGTTGATGTAATTCGACTTAACTAATAATTAGAAAATAACTAGGAAGAATTGGGGCTGTTGAAACACAAAATTAAGTAAAAAATGAGATGAATGTTTAGATTCTGTTATCTACTGAAAATAATTTTACTATCTTGAAAGTCTAAATGAATTGATTCTAGATCAAACGATCGACAGTCGATCCAGGAAATGATAAATAAGAAATAAAACATCGTCAGACACTCCTTTTAAAAATGCTTGAATTAGTTTTTACGAAATTATGAAATTAGAATGTACTCAGAACAATTTCAGTTACATACGTTCATTCTAAATCCTTAGTATTTCAAACGAATACTCTTGAAATTTTATAACGACCGAATATTTAATTTTCCTATTTTTCATGTATCCGCGTACATGTGTTTTTGACATTTACCAAGTGCATACATAAGTGATCACAATTTTATCTTGTTTTACTGAGACTTAACCCTTATTCCGTCCACTTATTTTGTATACTGAGTATAAAAACCTCGTTAGGCAATGATAAATCATTCCGTAGGAAAGTATATACATAGTCATCAACGTAGACAACTTAAGAATAAAAGATTTATAAAAGACTGTCTTTTTGTGATTATAATACAAGTACAAATTATCGGGAGTAATAAATGTCTTCCTGAAGATTCACTCACTGACTTGCAATATTATCATGCTATAGTATTGTTTAATGAGAACTAACAAAATGTAGCCATACGGGCACTTTGAGTAATAAAGCAGATATTAATTTTTATTCCTCTAGATGCACAATGTTTGTGACTGACTCTCATCAAATAAACGTCATTACAGTAGATCTATGTATATAAACCTCGAAAGTTTGTTTTCTTTGTTTGCGGCCCCACATACTATTAGAATAAACTAGTTCACACTAAAAGGTTGGTTATGGAAATAGAACGTAAGACTAATAATAACCACTTACCAAGTAATAAATATTGAGCAAGTCTCTCAAAGGAATACAGATTGCAGCATTGTCTTTTCCCACAGTTTTGATAGACTAGAATATCAATATAAATCGAAGTTATTTAGCGTATACTAACATTCAAAACATTCAAAATGTCACCATCCATAAATATGATGAGATCCTGGATTGTTTCGCTAAAAGTAACAACCAATACAAATTACAGAACCACTGTTGACAGGAAGAATTCGAGCTACAAGGTGACCTGAAAAACACAAGAGTGTTCATTTGAATAAACATACTGACAAATTATAAAGCGAAATAGATGATTTGACGTTACAGAAATATTGCAACAATGACTACCAAGTAACAAAATGACGACAGGATATGCCAGAAGTACAAAAAACTTCACTAAGCATGATCGAGAATAACTAATAGCAATTATTAATCCAAACTGATTAACTTATCGATGTAGGTATAAATAATTTCCTAGAATAAATAGTTGTGTAAACGCCTGAGATTAATGCTAATCTTGTTCGTAACATTAGATACTAGCTAGCTTAGAGTAATTGGTCAGAGTAATACTAGATCAAGCTACGAGCAAGTGAAGAACGTTTCATACGCTTTGGCTGACCAGTTTAAATGGTAGGTTAAGTAATTTTCGGATACATTCAAATAAATCCATCCTCTTAACCATCATCCCCTTAGAACTTGCTTGTACTTGACTTCGTTAAGAATACTGGTGTTTTAACCGTCAACTCCTTAGTTACCAATGATTAACAAACACATATGAGAGTATTAAGGATTGTTTGTTGAGAGAAGCCGAGAAGATATGGGAGTGAGACTATAATTCATGTGTTTAGGAACTAGAGTGAGTTTTCGTGGCGAACTGACGTCAAATATAGTATGACATTGAATGCGAATACGACTTATGGACAAACTAATAAAGTTCAAGATCTTAGGTCTTGTATGTCGACTCATAAATTATTCGTCAATATGTCTAAGTAGTATATACTAATAACATATACTAGCACTATAGCTTAAATCAGATAGTGACGAAAGGTAGTTGAAAATATCAAATCTCATAACTGGCAAGTTAAAAACGGTAATCCCTTTCAAATCTGTCCGCCGTTTCGTTTCAACGACCTTGAACGCGCTGACTGGAAGCGGGCATATCGATTTCCTTTTCCTCCATATAATGGATATTTTAGTCGCTTTTCTTAAAATTTATTCTATAAAGAAGTCATCTTTTGATGCATAATAAACACTAAATAACTGCTAAGAGCATTAACTGAGTATTTTCTGTTTTGTAGTGCACACTTTAGCTCTGTTGTTCCTTCGAAACTTGATCTGTGGTCCTAAGTGCTGTAGTGAAAGTCAACAGCTATATATAATTTGTTGATAAGGTCCAGAAAACAACGTAAGAAAGATAAAATAACGTAAAAGGTTATAGATGCGCCTAGTTTTTGTGAGTTAAGACGAAATGTCAACTGAAGGGTAAGTCCTAAATATTTGTTGTTCTTCCTTCAGTTAATTTTTTTCAAGGAATAACCTTTTTTTAATAACTATTGTATGTTGTCTCTAGTGCTTCATGCTCAAGTGAAATTTCAGTGAACGTAAGCGACGCGTTCCAACGTATTATGCTGAACAAGAGATTCGGAAGCTGGATTGAATTAGATAATGCACTAAAGGATTTCCATAAAGTATGATAGGATAAATCTATGTTTTCTCAGATGACCAATACACACTATGTTCACGCAGGAAGTAGATTGTTGAAGGATGTGAGATATAAATACTTGTTCGTAGTGTTTCGTTGCACGTTTGGTCGTAAACGTAAATCAGAAGGTCTGAATGTGAATAAAAAACCGTGAGGACTCTAACTAATGTGTTACATTTAAGGTCTAAATTTTTAAATTGCCAATCGATGTTTCGCGTAAGATTGGAGGGTCAACAATACGTTATAAAATCTTACAACATGTCTCACAACCATCCGTGTACTAGTTCGTGGATGGTTTGTGATCCGTTGAGTAGACGATTGTCATCAGAAGAAAAAGAAAACTTGAAACCAGTTGTATTGCACTGTCAGTCGACGGACGAAGTTATCGGAAGTATTAAGGAAAGAACAGGTAAGCAGGTGACCGCTACTGATGTCAAAAATATGAAAGCTGAACTCTCCACTGGTAAGTGTATATAAATATATTTCAGGTTGGACTCGGAAGCAGGTATTGCAGATGATGCGACAAAACGGTGAAGTTAGAGAGCATGCAGAAAATGGATGTATTACGGCGATATGCTTCAGCAGTTATGATCAGATACGGCTGTACAATCAATATCCCGAAGTCGTGTGTATTGATTCTACTTATAAAACTAATAATAAAAAGTGAATATGATTTTCGTTTTGTTCTACTATGTAGATATTCATTATTCCACGTAAAACAATGTGGGCGCGTGCCTTTTACGGCAGTATATTAACTTTGGGTAACAACACGAATAATCGTGTTGAGTCATTAAATAGGCAGATAAAAAGATATGTACGCAAAAGCGACAGCTTGCACAAATGCATGTACAAGGCTTTTAAGTGGAGTTCAATGACATTCTCTAGAAAAAGCATTGAAGACCAAATAATCAGTGGACGAACATACAATTATGATGCTCCACAGCGTCTTATACCCTTGCTGAACATGTTGACCCCATTCGCAAGATCCAAAGTGTTATACGAACTTAAAAAAATGCGTTTCGTTAACTTAGAATATGAAAGCGGCGAGTGGTTGTTTATGCTTGACCGCGGACAACATTACGAAGTGGATGTAAGTATTTGTGAATGCAATTGTAGCACGTTTAATATGTATCGATATCCGTGCCGCCATCTCCTGCTGGCATATATTAAAAGACGAAATCTAACAGGTAAGTTATCCTGGATCTATGAAATTCCCATGCTATTAGTGCTTTACGTGCTTCCTTAAGAAATGTAAGTGCAACTCATTTAGTATGCAAGGCATTTTCTTACCGAGACGGAGTAAAGAATATATACAACTTCAACGGCTCCAAAGAATGTGCAAACAACAAATTGTTGAGAAATATGGTGAACGCTTCGCGAATCAGGTGGAGAGAAAAGTCTACAATTTTTACTTAAGAATTATAAACAGCTAGACAGCAGGTTTACGATTAACAGTTCTTTGTGGCTTTATTTTAGACCACTATTTATACAACTTGTAAACTTATCTTTCCACTTTAGTAGTCATGAAAAATCAATAAACTTTTTCTCATTTTTTATTTTCGTCTTCTTAATACTTTCATGGGGAGGTTTACCAATCGCTTTAACGAATAATTGTGTGTGAAAATTAAGAATTTGTACTACTGTATTAGTTACGAACTGTCGTTAGAACTTAGCGTTATATTGTTGTTCATTGTGAGGAATCAACGAGTCAAATAAAATAATAATGCGAATTCCACGTAAAACCTTACAGATTAAACAACCGCCTTACATATTTTCCGTTGTCAGCTTACGTCCATTATCAAGTTAGTATTAGTATGGAACTAGACAATTTCATGCAGCTAGTTCCTTGATAAGATAGATTACGTAATCCTTAGACCACCCTTCCACTCACACTTCTTTGCTAAATTATGTCAACTCTTCAGGTTGTCTTCACTTATCTTATTAGTTCTTAATTCACTGATTTATTCATTACATCTAGAATTATCACACAATTGATCTTATATGCTTCTGAGCTTCACTCGACTATTACACCACCCATCCTTTATGTTCCCTTAAGTCTAACACCAAATGACCTTTGACCTGTTCAAGCATATACATATGTATAGTTATTATTGATAACCTAGGTCATTCCAATTCTTTGCTTTCTATTATCTTTCATACTATTTCTTCCCTCAATCTTAAATTATAATGCATATTCAGTTGTATGCAACTTATGAGAAACCACGAAATGTAATGCAGTCACATGATTCTGCGTCAATATTTGTTTTGGCTTTATTTAGACCATAATTATACAAACTTACAGGATTTATAATATAAAACACTGCGTATGGCTGTTATATTTATATTTAAATAATTCATTAGATGAATGAGCATAGCAGTAGGCAATATAAAACAGTTATCGTAAACTTGTAAACCGGTTTTCCACACGATCTTCCGTAATCCTAAATTCCATAAGCTTCATACTATTCTGAAAAACAACAAATCCGTTTTGAGACAGACAATTAAACTTTGTTCTCAGTATCATATTCATTAAGTTATTCAAATAGCAAGTAACAGACTGTGCCTATAAGTCTTTTATTAACAAGTGGTGACATTCATTCATAACTTCCTAAGTAACACAACAACTGTATTACCGAAACGGAGTGAAGAGTATATAATAACTCATTTGTGAACCCTATAACAGACACGTCACAAATCAGTATTAACTAAAAAACATGGTTGTGTCACCATTCTCACAAGAAACACCGATCGTTTTATTCATGAAGATTTTGTTCCTACTTGATGTGGTGTTATACACTATTACTGCAGACGTTCAGAAAGCCGCTGGACAACACTATAAACGTCAATTGTTACTCACATATTTTTTTCTCAGATACGTTACATAATTATGTCACTTCAGTACAAAACAATGGTACCTCTAATGGATATAACTTTTTATGGCTAAATACAAACAAGTTATATAATATTCACAATTAGGTTAACGCTTGATTGCTTCTACTTACATTTTATAAACAACTACCGACATCCATGTTCACCGTCACCGCAATCAAGGAGGTGAACCATATGTAAAAGATTTTACGGTTCATTTTCATGAAAACTCAATCTGTGATGTATTTTTTGACTAGAAACACGGTGAACTTTACTTGCTTGACTTTGTATTGTTACAAATAACTATATTAAGCTAACTTCAGATTTACTTACGTGGTGAGCAAGAAGTACGTCAAACTGCCAATAAATTGGAATAAAAACTATGTTACAAGCACTAGCAATACAGAAATTGATGTGTCATGCAAAAAAGCCTGTTAATAGCTGATAAATAACGACACAAAAAATCCACGACAATATGTAACGTGTGCGCGAAATTCGTCCTATTTGCGATGTAACTGCATCTCAGAGTTAATGTTCACTAAACTAACCACCAACCTTAAAAGTAGCGCCAATACCGAATTTCC